TATATATATTGAAAATGTGATCGCCCCATAGGTATTACCATGATTAGTATATGATCGTAATTGACTAATGATGTCTTAATTTATGTACATGCATATTGTTATTTGAGACAGCATTTCTGTAGTCTTTACAAGAAAACACAACAACTTGGATAGAAATGTTCTGAGATACAGAGAATATATATATAATTGTAAAATAATAAAAGATTATTTTATTTTTTTTACAATGTGAACACCATTAATTAATTATACAAAAACTTTAAAAAACTTGAGTATGGTTGATTTAACTTTTAATATAATATAAGGATAATAAGTAAATTTTTTTACTTTACTTTTCTCTTCTGCAATAATTGATCACCAAACTCCAATTATTTCCGTAATTGGATGACTAGATTACAATGGTTGTGTCCTCTTTAATATTTATATCAAATGTTAATAATATTTAATGTGGATAAAAATTAATGTTTTATATTTTTAGTAAAATTTAAAAATATTTTTTATTATTATTTAATTATTGTCTGCAGGTGAAATATTTTTTTTTATATTTTAATTTTTTTTTCATTTTATTAAAATATTATTATTATTATTATTTTCCGTGAAATATCATATATCAGCGTATACATATGACATTTAATGATAATATTAATATAATACATATCTAATATAAAAATACTTTTAACTAACAAGTGTTGGTGTGATGGACTAAAATTAAATTAAAAATATAATATTAAAATTATTCCAAAAAAAATAATGCATGAATGAATTTATAATAATACACAAATTAATATAATATTTTATCAAAATAAAAATGACTTCCTTTACGTCATCTATTGGGCCAAACACTTTCTTACATCAATCAACTTGATTTAAAATTTTCCCAGAACACAAAAAAAAAATAATAATAATAATGGAAATGGAAATGCTTGGAAAAGAATCTGACCACAAAACCCACTTTTTCTAAAGTAGAAAGAATTGAGAATGGGACGCTAAACACAAACATTTTCAAGTATCTTCTTCCTTTTCTTTTTTTTTTTTAATTTTAATTTTTATTTTTGGTGGGACTTCAACAGTAAAATCTCCACCTTTTCCCTGTCTGTATCTGTACTTGCTCTCTCTTTCTCTGTATTCTTCTCTTTCTCTCTGTCTCTCTCCTTCCATTGATGTATAGCTGTTGAAAGAAAACTGGAAGAGCCCAAAGTTCAACAAAAGATGTGTTTTTATCTGTTCTCTTTTCTCTAATTAATTTTTTTGCCCCTGGCTTTCTCTGACTTTGCTCCAGCAAACCCATCTCTCCAACTTCTGCTTTCCCATAATGGTACGCACTCTCTCTCTCTTAGTTATCTTATCTCAAATTTATTCTCTGTCTCTCTTTTTCTTTCTTTTGATCTCACCCATAATCCATTTGTGGTAAAAACTAGGAAACCCACTTCATTACTGTCTTGTCTTAGCCAGCCTTTCATTATACCCAGTACTCTTCTTGGTTGCAGCAACACATCACATAACCAAAGGCTGCAGTCTCAGGTTACCACTACATGTAAGCCAACTCTCACCACCACCCCCCTATATCATAGACTCTATAGATTTCATTCTTCTGCTTGTTAACTTTTTTTATTAAATCTGTTTATGCTCCAGTTTTCTCTTGCTTTTTCTTCTTGTCGTTTGAATGTTTCCCAGATCCCATAACTTGTGATTTGTCTTGATTTTTGTTGTGCTGAATGATTGCTTGTCATAGCTCTTTGTTTCTCCTCAGTTGGTATTTTTAATGTTCGATGATGTTGGGGAAGAGGGGGAAAGGGGTTTTCAGATTTTGTTACGCTAAATTTTTGATAAATCTGATTTTGAAATTTTGCTGAAATTGAACTATATTATGCACTCATAGAGGGAAAAAAATAATGCAAGTGTTGAAACTTGAAATAGATAAGTGGGTGGTACTTAAAATTAGCATTTTTATTGTTGAAGTTATGCCAAAATTTGATGCAATAAATGTTACATAATTACTCTCACGTGGTTAATAAAAGGGAATGATAGAAGGTTTCTAATACTTCTCTTGAATACTACTCGGAGTAACCAGTATTTCTTGTCTACGTAGTAGCAGGTATGTCTATCCCTTTTTCGTATTCCTTTTTATAAAGGTAAAAGCTTGAGTTGTGAGTTGTGTGTTTCGTGTGTCAATTCAGTCTTGTTATTTTTCACTTCTTCATTGTTTGATAAGGTAAGCTTGGTAGATTGAGAAACTTATTTTTGGTCAAGGAGAGTAAGTTAGAGGTTTATAGCAGTAGAGAAATTAAAGATGAATATTCAATTACTGCATATAAAAAGTCAGATTCTTAACAACAAAGTACTTTACATATGCAAAAATGGGTATGCAGGGCAGAATAATCTAGATTTGAGTAACAATTTTAATACCCAGATTCAATGTTGACATGAACTGGGCCTTAAAAAGCATATATGATTTGCCATTTTGTATTTGGCCAAAGAATATTTCGAATACATTGTGGGATGGATGTATTCAGCATCTTGCTCAAAAAGAGCAAAGGGACCAAATTGTATTTGTTTACTTTTCCCTTACATCGCTCTCCTACTTGTGGGTGTCATTTTGTTTGTTGATTACCTCAATTTGTTGCCAGCATTTTGTTTTAGTTTTGAAAAAATGGCTATAAGTGTAATTATGTACATACTTATAGCTCGTACCGTACGAAAAATATTTCGTAGTTACTGATATTTAATCTTGTGAAATCAAAAAACATTGTTACACTTACACACACGCATATGCCCCTTGGGTCTCCAGATTGTAAATGAGCTTTTCTTTAGAAATCTTGAAAATATTATCCTCTGCTTTTCAATCGTGATTATAAACGTAAATTTAATAATACCAGTAAAACAAACTGATAATGTCAATATAACATTGTGATTGATTTGTTTAAATTTACATATTTAATTTGATTATTTTCTTATTTATGTTAAAACTAGATACTTTATTCATATACAAGAGTCAGATATTGTTTCTTCACAGTCTTAAGCGAAATCCTATTTTCAGATAATTGTTTTCTATAGTGTGATCTGGAGAAGTCTTATCAAGTTATGGTAAAAATTATGGATAGTCTATTATATTCTTCTGGTTTTTCTGGAAAATTAACCGGAATTTGTAATTCTTCCAAGAAAATATACTTGTCATATTCAGAAACTAAAGAAAATTTGGAAAAAAAAAAATCTATATTTATGCGGAATCAAGAAGTAGCAGCTGTATTGCAAAGGCAGATATATTTGCATTTTGCAAGGTGCCTAAATATGTTTTATCTGCCTGTTATATCTAACGGAAATTAAAACATCAAGAAATATGAATACCTAACCTTTTTCACTTTGTTGCAATACATAATCTATGTAATAATCCATGCAGGTGAAGAACTGCATTGTGAATTTTCTGGGACAGAAACATGATAACACCAAACTCCAATTTGGAATCCGAAAACGATTCAGAAATTAGCAGCCAAGTAGCTTCAAACCTTTCAGTGCCAGAAGCATCTCCTGATCCTTCTAAGGACAGTGCCACAACATCTTCGTGTCTCACGAATGTCATAAAGCTCCAATCCGATCCAGGTTCCCTTTCGCTAGACTTGACTCTAAGTTTCAATGCTAGTGATCAAGCAGAATTGAAGGTTACAGGTGAGGCTACCTATGAAGCAGCAGCAGCAGCAGCAGCTCCTCAATCTGAAACAAGAATTTCAAGGATATTTTCGTGCAATTACTGCAGGCGAAAATTCTATAGCTCGCAGGCATTAGGTGGACACCAAAACGCTCATAAAAGGGAGAGGACAATGGCAAAACGTGCAATGCGGATGGGAATTTTCTCGGACAGGTATACTAGTTTGGCATCATTGCCACTTCATGGTTCTGCGTTTCGATCACTGGGTATCGAAGCTCACTCTGCAATGCATCAAGGCATCATACCATCACAGAGACCAGTTGAAACTAGAGGAGTAGCAAGGTTTCATCAGGATGGGCATTTTGGTATGCCAATATTCATGGAAGATGAAGATGTGGACTTGTTCTGGCCTGGGAGTTTTCGACAGGTTAACGAAGGAATTGGCCTAAATTCAGATTCAAATTTGGCTCAAAACTCAAACAATAATGTCGTTGCTGCAACACCAACATCACCAAGAACAGATACTTGTCCTGATCTTACTTTAAAACTTTAATATCTATTCTTGGTTGGTTGGCAGCTCCAAGTAGACATCGGTATTCATTACAGTGTACAGCGGCTATATAACTTAAAATTTCCAATATTCTATAACTTTGTTTCCTTATTCTTGTGATTTGCTTACTGCACAAGTCAATTTCAGGCAGTGAAGCCGGTTGCTGCAATATGCAATTTGTTTTTCCTGTTTGCAATCAAGCCAAACACTGGATCTGGAATCATATCAACTGAATTGGAAGAGCTTTTCTCTTTTTTGGGTATAACATGATTTTTTTTTTTTTGTGGACAAATGTTTCTGGATCAAACATAGGAACTATGAATTGGTTTGGTTGGAGATAGTCTGCTACCAAAACATTTCCTTTAAAGGTAACTGAAATTGAAGCATGTCTAAGTTCCGACCATAATAACACCTGTTAATGGGTCGGGTCGGGTCAAGTGAAACCCAAACAAGGCTTGTCCTCTGGGTTGTTGCATGGTCGTGGTCTAGCCCAGCCTTACGGGTCCCTAATAAATGAAAATTATTTTCAAAAAAAAAAAAAAAAAAGGAATTGTACATATATTACATTAAATATCAAATATTTGATTATTTTATTATTTAATCTTTATGCAATTTGTTTAATTAATTAAATTTAATTTGCCCACGAAGAACAGAAAGAAACAAAGAAACGAAACACGAGATGCATAAAAAGACAGAAGCGACCGACAAAACAGTCTGTCAGGGTTGACTTTCTAATGCATCTGACCAACCAATTTAATATTCACGTGCTAATTGAACAGAAGAAAATTTTACATCTTAGCGACAATAAATCAATGGAATTTAAAACAAATCTAAAACGTAAAATTTGCAATAATAATAATAATTAAATTAAACAGCAAGGATTGCGTGGGAAATTGATGAAACGCGATGCGGCGGTCGGCTCTCTCGTCTTTTAATTTAAATGTTGTTTTTATAATTTATTAATAAAAATTCAATTATTCTTAAACATTAAATAATTATTAACTTTTATTTATTTTTTTTAAATTATAAGTTTGGTGTTTTTAGAAAAAGGAAAAAAAAAAATCAAACGAGGGTTGTCTCTCGAGAAT